CCCTGGGCTCGAGCGCCCACGGGACTTGATGGGCGTGGACTCCGGGATCACATTGTTGTCTGGGACAGCATCGGGTGCGGAATCAACAACGGGACCGCTCGGGCCCACAGGGGACTTGATGGGTGTCTTCGGGATCCCACTGTTGTCTGGGACAGTGGTGGGTGTGGAACCAGCGGGACCAGCTGCACCTGGGCTTGAAGCCACACTTGCCTTGATGGGTGTAGCCACAGCCTCGACAAAGGAATGCACGATCTCATGCACAAACACTCTGTGATTTTGTCCACCCAGAGCCTCATCAAACAGAGGCCCGAGATTTCTGGACAGCTTAGCTTCCGTTTCAACCTGCTTGTCCGACTCCATCTTCTGAATCGTTCCACGAAGCTGAGACTGCACCTGCTCCTTGATTGGGCTCGTTGCAATATTTCACATGCTCTACATGTACAGGCGCACGGTGCTTTCCTATATCTAGAGTCCTCCTGCGGGGTCTTCACAGCAAGGCCCTGGATAAAGCGAGCTGGCGTCATCAACTTATCCGAGTCCACGAGCTTCGGGGGGCTCGACTCCTGCAGGTATTATCTCCCACCCATGAAATACTACACCCCTAAATCCTACAACCTCAGGACTTGCACCCTAGACCATACATCCTTAACTCCAAATCCTCCAGATTGCTTCCACAAAGGCGGCTAAAGATTAAAACAAACCGTCCTCTGCACTGTCACACTCCAAGTCCTCTGGGAATTCCCACAGACCACGGCTCACCATATCAACAGCATCATCAGCTGGGGGTTCTTGATAGAGGGATTCTGGCTCATTCCGGCTTTCCTGAACAACCAAAGGTGCTGCAGCTGGAACATCCTGGGCTGTAGGGTTTATAAGATCGAAGTTAGGGGTTGAGCCTGAGGCTTTGTTGCTTTAAAGTTCAGGGTGAAGGTTGGAAACATGTTTGTGGCAACGGCGCACAGGGGAGGGCCCAGCAATAGCCTAAGTCTAGCAAGGGATTTGTTGGCATTATTCTTTATGTTGTTTTCATCGGCCTGGTTTCAGGCTCATGTCTTACACATTGATCGGGTCCACAGGTTCATCCAAGTGTCAGCCACCTTTGCTTCCAAGACGTGTCTCTTCAGAGCCAAAACTTTTTTGAGAACCAACATGCGCTGTGAGCGGGAGCACATAGTCCTTTTCTCTGACCGGACGACGTATGCAATCAAGGCCTTCAGGATAGCCGCTTCATTCTCAGCCCACCCTCGGATTTTGCCTTTTCCACCTTTCATCGCAAATTGCGCACCCGGGTATAGGCACACCGCCAGCAGGCCAAAGGCAGCCTCGAATGCAACAAACCACTCCCGCCCTCCCACACTCATCACCACACCCACTGACTCACACACCTGTATGTCTGTCTTGGTTATTTCTTTAGTGACAGCTCTCCCTTCACCTTCCTCTCTCTCTCTCTTCCCCTCCCTCCTTCCCTTTCTGTGCGAACTTGCAGACAAAGTACCTGGAAGTCGGCTACAGCAGGGGTCGGCTCCCCACCTAGCTGGATCAAGAACTCCTTCACCAAACAATAGTTCGCGCCGATGAGGTCGTCCTGGTGAACCTTATCTTGATCCGTGATACAATCTAAGGTACACCAGGAAGACCTCATCGGCGCGAACCATCATGATGACTGCAAGAATGCCTTATTGTAATGAGCAATCTCCAGCCATGCGTCAACACACATCCTAATAAGGAAACTGCAAGCAGGCTGCAACACTCCGGCTGGAATCCCACATCACCACTTTCCTTTCCTGGGCACATGCACATGCTAGGACTAATATTGTCCTCGAGTTCGTGTCAGGCAGAAATACACATCATGATCAGACAAGCCTGTCAAGTATCGGAATCTGACATGATCTGGGGCATCATGTGCTTCTGCACAAACCCGTTCACAACGTGATAG